CCACGCCCACGCCCACGCCCACGCCCACGCCCACACCCACGCCCGCGCCCACGCCCACGCCCGCACCCACGCCCACACCCACACCCACGCCCATGCCCACGCCCACGGAGCTCCCCATATGGCCCCAGGACCGCCCAAGACAGCCAACAGACTCGCAGGGGGGGCCCAGGGAGGCCTTCGAGAGCCCTCCGAAAGGTCCCTTCGAAACCGATGAAATCCCCCGAGAGGCCCCTGAGAATCAAGCCCTAGAGAGGCAATACTAGGGCCTTCGTAAGAGCGCATCACATCTCATGACATTATTGAGCCTCGGGGTTGAGAGCTGACAAATATTATTATGAAGTGTTGGGCGATTATCACAAGGCCGCCACGCAGAGTAATGCGGTGGCAAAATGGCAGAGCTTACTGCCAGCAGCTGGCAGTGGCATCCACACGTCTGGCGTGTTGCAAATTTGTGGCCTTCACTGTGACAAGTAGTGTTAACCCCATCGCGACTGCACACATCTATCACAACGGGGAATCATGATCGCTGCGACCATCACTAAAACAGTTAGCCTGGCGAGGAACCCAATCATATGCAGTTGCGGGTACAGCCATTGCATGCACCGCACTCGGTAGAGCTCCCCATGAGGCCGCGAAGCGTGTGAGGGGTGTGCCAAAATGGGCGCGGTGGCCGCATGCGAACGCTGGCATTTGGGCCTTCGGTGGGGCCCCCGATGGGGCCATGAAACGTGTGAGGGGTGTGCCAAAATAAGTGCGGTGGCCGCATGCGAACGCTGGCATTTGGACCTTCGGTGGGTCTCCCTATTGGGACACGAAACGTGTAAGTAGTGTGCCAAAATGGGTGCGGTGGGCGCATGCGAACGCTGGCATGTGGGCCTTCGGTGGGGCTCACTGTGGAGCCACGAAACGTGTGAGGGGTGTGCCAAAATAGGTGCGGTGGCCGCATGCGACCTGGCGTGTGGGCCTTCGGTGGGGCTCCCTGTGGGGCCACGGAATGTGTCAGTGGTGTGCCAGAAAGGGTGGGGTGGGCGCATGCGAACGCTGGCATTTGTGCCTTCGGTGGGGCTCCCTGTGGAGCCGCGAAGCGTGTTAGGGGCGTGCCAAAATGAGT